CATTAAGTCCACTCTCACTTAGTAATCTAACATAATAAATGAAAGAAGGTGATTAGGTGGCTAAGTATCAGTTCTCTGGAGTAAGAGAAACCTACCTCTTGATTGTACTAATAGCTACTTCTTCAATCTCAAGCCATGGAATGAGTATAGCCATTTTAATTGCCTCATAGACTTATAAATGTTGGATAATGAATGAGGAAATCTGAAGAATAAGTGTCTCTGAGCTGCAGTTTTAGAGAAGTATGATGGGTATACATTGTCAGAATAAGAAAAGCTATCATGTAAGAAGTAAAACCAGAGGATTTCTTAGAAGCAATGTTCACGGAAATTCTTCTCACATACTTTAGACATGTTATCAGGATGGGCTAGTTTTTGGAAAAGGACATTATTCTTGGTAAAGTAGAAGGCCAAAGAGAGAGCGAATGACTGTGAAAGGAGATGGTTTAAACACCTGCGATGATGGATGTAAGGGCTGTGGTTATTGTAAGGATTGGACCAGAATGGGTAGGATTTTCTTCTATTGTATCTAGGATAGCTTTGAGTCAGAAACAACTTGATTGCTATTCATTTGTAAACCTACCCATTGTAAATACTTTGAGAAACAAATTATGTATATGAAACATTAAACAGGGGGATGAACTCATATTCAACAAACTTGATATACTATTTAAATAAATGACCAAATCCTGTGATCATTATGCTCTTGTTGTTGTTATGTGCCATCAAGTCACTTGCAACTCATAGCGACTCTATGTACAAAAGCTCTGAACCCCGCTCTATTCTGAGCCAACCTTATTGTCTCCGATAAACCTACCCTCATTACCCCAGTCACTGAGTCAATACATTTCCTCAAGGGTCTTCCTCTCTTGCACTGTCCCTCTACCCTCCCAAGCATGATGTCCCTCCTTATAAAATGCCCAGAGTATGTTAGATGGAGATTCAGAATCCTTGCTTCCTGGAGCATCCTGGTTTCACCTTTTCTTTAGGATCAGAAAATATTAAACCAGAAGATACGAAGATTGTGATTGATTCCCAAAGCTTATAATGTTGCCTTGCTGGGACCGCTTTGCATTCTCAAGGTTTTGCTGTTGTTATACCACTGAGTTGGAGATGACTCACAGCTGGCCCTCCAGTGGGGTTTCAATGACAGTAAATCACACAGAAGGAGATTGCCTATCTTTATTGGACGGCGCAGATGTCCGATAGAGCCATGTGCCTTAGGATTGGCAGTATAACTTCTTACCACTCTTCAAAGATTTTGCCCAACCCTAAAATTGTTCTTATTTTGTGCTAAGCCTTATATGTAAACCAAACAGCTACCTGAGATCACAATAAACTTACAAATAAATCTGAGGTGAACACTGAAGCGATATATCAAAGTGACCAACTCTTCAAATTCACCAGTTTTCTGTGGTAGGAAAGGGATAATAGATTGCATATAGTACACCCAATTTTGCAAGGACTTTGCATTTTACCCTAAATAAATTGAGACGTCCTTTTGAACAGAAGAATGAAATTACCTAACTGGCATTTTAATAGAAATACTCTGGCTTGCTGTTGAGAACAGAATTAGATAAGAACGGAAGGTTGCATCGTGGAGTGTACTCGGGGCGTGGGAAGGGTGCGGGGGGGGGGGGGATTGTATACCAAAGAAGGAATTTTTCTTTTGCTTTTCAAAGAGAGGAGCTGGGAGGAGGGCAGGGAGGGCTGGGCAGGGAGAAAAGTGCAACAATGAATGAATGGAAATCCAAAATATCTGTAAATGTTCATGACATTTAATAAAATAAAAAAGACATCAAAAAATTATTAAATTATGTGTAGAATACCTACAAAAACACATATATCTTCTAATTGACTTCTTCCTGCCAAATTGAAGTATTGTTTGTGACTAACTGGGTGTATTCATTTATGCTTATTGTTTATCAAGTTATACCTTTAATTATAATTATTTCATTTTCTTTTACTATTATTACTTGGATCATTAAAATGTAAGATTTAAAAAAAAAATGGAAGCAGGAGCAGCATCTGAGGGCTTTGCCCATAATGTGAGGGAAAAATAATGACTTCATTGTCCAGGGTAGGAAAAAAAATTGGAGCTGAGGAAAACAGGTCAAATTCTGAAGACAGACACAAATATGTAAAGATGACGTAGATGCATATCTTGCTCTGTTCTGATTGAGTCAGACTCACAGCAAGGCAATTCATTGGATTCTGAGGTGTTAAGTCTGTAAGTCTTTGTAGGAAGAGACGCTTGTATTCTACCGGGCTGCTGGTGGTTTCCAACCAGTGACTTTTGGTTAGCAGTTCCATAAATGGAGCACTATCAGGACTCATATGTGCACACACACACATTTGCATATATGTGCACACATACATATATATTTATATATAAGATCCTCTTGTGGCTAATCCGTAGGATGCTGCTCTACTAATCGAAAGAAAGGGCATTTCTCCCCACTCCATCCACCAGTGCCTCCTGGGGAGAAAGACAATCTATCTCTCTTGAACTGCTGGTAGCGAATTTAGAGTATATACACACATGTGCATGTGTGTGCATTCCAATATTTGAAGGTAGAGTTAAGAGGTTTTTGCTGATTATCCCAATAATGTGTGAAAGGTGCAGAGGAATAAACAAATGGTATTGTTTTTCCCTACCTTGGAATAATATTATTTGCTGCAATGGGGAAAATAAAGAAGTGGGTTTGGGAAGGATTGTCCGGAACTCAGATTTGCTAAGAGGACATCCAGTAAGAGAGATTAAGTGAGCATTTGGATCCAAGAGTCTGGAGTTCAGGATAGAGAAATGGTGTCAGTAGTAGGCGTTTGTGATGTCAACTCTTTTAGGTCTTGTAAGAGAAGATGGCACCAAAATTTCTATGCATGGAATTTTTGCACAGACTCGGCGGTCAGTACTCATTCGGCAGTGCAGAAACAGGTTTTGGAGCAGCTTTTTCCTCGCTTGTGGCGGGAGGATGCTCTGGCCCCTCCCTGTGATAGGTGTCCAAGCCTGGTCACCCAGTGTGCCTTTGGCCATCATGGCCTGAGCTACCCCAGGTACTGGAGAAGGAGCTGAAGGCCATGCTCAAGGCAACAGGTAAGGGCCCCAGAGGAACAGAGTTCTTGCTCTGGTAGACAGGGGTGTAGGGGTGCAATGGGTGCCTGGACAGGCAAGGGTGCTAGGTGCTTCTCTGGCTTGGCATTCTGTTCAGGTTGCCCATGTTTCGCCCTTTTAGTAGCTGGTGAATTAGAATTGCCTGTCCGTGGGTAGATACATTTATCCTCAATTCTCAATTCTGAGTTCTCAATTCAATTCCATTTGTCTATGTATTTGTTGCTGTATTAGTACTACAGTACTTTAAATATTATGACTTTGTCATAGGTTTTGAGATCAGGAAGTGCAAGACCTCTTTGTTTTTCTTATCTAGTCTAGCTTTGCTTATCTGTCCATTTCATTCCCATGTAAAGTTGGTTACTTTTCCCATCTCTTTGGGAAATTATTATGGGATCTGAATTGAGGTTGCATTAAATTTCTAGATATTTTTGGCACTATTGATAGTTTTACATTGTGGTCTTCCTGTTCATGAGCAAGTTATGTTTTTCATTTATGTAGATGTCTTTTGGTTTCTTGTAGTCCTTTTTGGTAATTTTCTTAGTATACTTCTTTGCTATCTCTGGTTAGATTTATCCCAAAATATTTTGTTTATCCTTTGAGTTACAATTGCAAATGACACTGTTTGTCTTAATTCCTTTTCAGAGTTTTCATTTTTACTGATAGGAATCTCATTGATTTCTCTGTTGATTTTGTACCCTGCCACTTTACTGATATTAGATATTGTCATTTTTGTTCCAAATCTTGAGGTTGCCTATATCGTATTATCTGCAAAATAGAGATCATTTTGTTTCCTCTGCTGATTTGGATGTCTTTTTATTTCCTTTGCTTGTTTTACTATGCTGGCTAGGACTTCTAATAGATTATTGATTAAAACTCATTCATTGAAATCAAGTCAGAACCAAGTCATAGCTGAGTTTACTGGGTTACATAGCTTCTGTTTATTAAGTTGTCAAGATTGTACATTGCACAGGAGATTGCCTATCTTTCTCTTATTGAACCAGTGGTGGATCTGAACTACCAGAAAGGCATGACCTTTGGGTTGGCAATGCAA